TTGTACATGTATTGTTTTTCAAATGAGTTTAAGCGAAAACTATCACGTTTCCAGTCAATGACAAAGACATGTATTTAGTGAATTCATGGTATTGAGAAAGGTAGATTTACTTACCGTTTTTATCCAACTTGCATGTGTTATCCAGTGCTAGATATAACAAAACATGGAAATGGCCAAAAGCGGGTAAAAGAAATTCCTATAACCAAAATTCACACTTCTTCTATAACCTGCACGTTTCCCATACAAACAGCTGATAATCAATGTTGATCAAAAGTTTGGGTCATGCGAAATTCCACTTACTGTCGAAACATTTTGGTGATTTCATGAAGAGTTTAAATTTCACCGGGTACAATCATTCATTCAGGTGTAAACAAATCGTGAACAGAGTATCCTCTAGTCGATGGGAAGATAAAACATATGTCTTATCTTATCAAATTTGTATTTTGGGGGGATATATTTTGCTGGAAAGCTTATATATTTATTGAAGAAAAAAAAAAAGAAATTTCGGAGTGTATGGCGTTTTGACACGTAATGATGAATTAGCATATGGACAAGCCATGTTTTCAAATCATTTTTCTCACCTAAAATCTTATTCTTATGATTTTTAAATATATTATTTAACAATTAAATAAGTGGAAATTGATAAGTTGACAAACAATTCATTTTCAAAGAGAGGATACGTATTAGGCAATACACTGTATTAATTGAAGTGATACAATGTACATTCCATCCACAATATCGCATGTTGTGTTATACTCAGTGATTTATCGGTGTTAAGTGAATTTAAATAAGATCATTTGGGACCAAAATGGCGTTTCAACGGACGTACGCCATGTTGTGACGTTGTAGAGAGCCCCCTCAAGCACAGAAGATACAAACAAAATATGGATGCCTGGATTGGTATATATTTTTTGGTCTGATTTTATTGAAATTGATGCAAATAATAAATCTTTAGAATATAAAGAAATTGTAACCCTTCTTTGATGTTCAAAATTTTGCCTTACTAAAACCATCCTTATTATTTTATACACTTTAATTAATAATCTATATATTTTTCACCCCAAATCCAATTTTTATGAAATTTTGGATAAAAAATTAAAACTTACGCGGTGAAACTTTTCTTTCAATACTGGTCGTATTTCAATAGTGGTTGAACCCTATGGTAATCTTCTTTTCTCTCGGTTTTTAAACAGCACAAGCTCGCTCTGTAGATGATCCAAGATGATAGGGTACTTGTCTCCATTAAATGTTATTGTTACACTCCTCTGATTTTCCTTAACTTCAAGGTGACCAGACGTGTTTTTTACAGCTCCTGCATTTCTTATCTATACTTAGTAATTACAATGGAATAATAATGAGTTTGAGTGAAAGTTCTAACCTTTTCAAATCACTTTTGGACTCATTTACTGGATTTTCAAGATCATTTAGTGTAAATAATGAGCTTCAAAATGAATCTGTGAAACTTGATTCAGATGCGCCAGATTTCCTTCAAGTTAAGGAAAATCAGAGGAGTGTAACAATAACATTTAATGGAGACAAGTACCCTATCATCTTGGATCATCTACAGAGCGAGCTTGTGCTGTTTAAAAACCGAGAGAAAAGAAGACATGGGTCTATATATAAATCTCAAGATGATTCTGTCACAGCTACCATTTATGAGAAAACAAATACCCTTCACATCCAAGGAGACTCATATTTCTCGTGGTGCCAGAGATTTCTCAAGGATTTGAAGACCTCTGATGAAAATTTGGAGACAAGATGTAAGACCATAGAGGAAACATCACCCCAGTGCACATCTACTCCTAAAAGTAAGGCCCCACAAACTGATGAAGACCCCAAATTGAATTGCCATCAGTGCATTGACAGTGCAAAAATCATTAAGGAACTTTCAGATACGGTCCAACTTCTGTCAAAAGAAGTCAGTGATCTTAAAAAACAATTAAATGCTTCAAGGACGGTCACACCTCTTATTACAAAAGGAACCCAAACAGTTCCAAACAGGACAAAAGAAAAAGAAACATCAACAGAAGGAATTAAAATTCCTGGGCCTGGTGTATCCAGGCATAGTCAGTGCGAAATTAAAGTCCCATCAACCAGTAGCAGTACAATGACAGACTCCAGGGAGGCTCCAGACATCAAGACTGCTCCTGTTTTGTCAAATCCTGCAGATTTCACGAGGGAAAAAAAGCAACCCGGAAAGAAACCAGAGGAAAAATCTGTACTCATCATTGGGAGCTCGATTTTACAAAGGATTCGCACCAGAGGATTACATTCAACAGTACAGGTCAGCACAAACAGGGGAGCAACCATCTCTGATATAAGGACAAAACTTTCAAGAATGGATGTATCATCATATCAAAGTATTATTGTTTTAGCTGGCGGAAATGATGCATCAAGACGGCGGGATGCAGAGGGGATGGAACACGATTTTGCGGAAATAATCGCAGACCTTCAACATCGGAATCCCAGTGTACGTGTACGTGTGTATATTTCAGAAGTGTTATCAAGGCGTGATACGAATGTCAGTGATGTTAATGAAATAATAATTGATGTGTGTGAAATGTATGGTGTCACTGTGATTCCTACTACAAAGTTCTTTGGAGATGGAAATCTTAAACAGGAATACTACTGGAAAGACGGAATCCACCTGTCAGACAGAGGTACCGCAGCTCTGCTCAAACATTTGCCACCTAATGCCAAAAATTGAAGAAATTAAAATTCTGCTTCAAAACAAACAAGATCTTAATATCTTAGGACTTTGTGAAACCTTTTTGAATGATAACATTAGTGATTCTGAGTTGAATATTGATGGCTTTGAAATGGAAAGGAAGGATCGCATTCTGAGGGCAGGTGGTGGAATTGTAGTATATATCTCCGATAATATAAGATACAAGCGTAGAACTGATTTTGAAATTGGTGATATTGAAACAATCTGGCTAGAATTAAATTCAAAGAATTCTAAACCAGTTTATTATTGTTCAGCGTATCGTCCACCATCTGCTCCCTCCTGCTGGGCGGAGGACCTGGCTAGAGAGATTAACTGTGCCTCCTGCTGTGACGATGCAGAAATTATCTTAACAGGTGACTTTAATGTAGACTTATTCAAAGAACCCCCACAAAGTTGGACATATGCTTTAGAAGAATTTGATTTTTCACAATTAATTACAGCAGCAACCAGAGTAACTAATACTTCAAGTACCCTAATAGATCACTTTTACACCAATAAACCAGATAACATGTGTGAAGTAAATGTACCTTTTATAGCCATCTCTGACCATTACCCAATATGTGCCACTAGAAAAACAAAATGCATGCAGCAAAAAGGACAACACGTAGAAATAGAGTACAGAGACTTCAAAAAGTTCGATGAAAATAAATTCCTTCACGACTTAAAAGATGTAGACTTTAACAATCTCCTCCAGATGCATGACCCTAATGAAATACTAACTGAATTCTATGATTTATTTAATAGTATACTTGACCAGCATGCAAAGGTTAAAACAAAACGCGTAAAGAGCGAAATCCGCCCTAAATGGATGACACAAGAAATAAACAATGCTAGACATTTACGGGACTCTTACCATAAAGAAGGAGATATGGAGAACTATAGAATTTATCGAAACAAAGTTAGTCTTCTTATAGACAAATCAAAATCGTCTTACTATAAAACAGCTATTGAACAAAGTTCAAATCCCAAAGAAATGTGGAACTATCTTAATCAATTAACATGTAATTCAAAGAACATAACACCATCTCATGTGTTTTCTAATGGGGAAATTGTTGATAATTTACAGGATATTGCAAATACTTTTAATAACCACTTTACGGATATCTCTAATAAGCTTATGATGAAATTGCCTAAACATGATTATGATCCTAATATATTATGTAATTTTGTAAGGTCTAAGCTTGATGAAGAAACCATCTTTAGTATTCATCAAATTGAGGAAAGTGAAGTTTTTAACATGCTTAATTCTCTAAATATCAATAAATCAGCTGGCATTGACTTTATTGGGCCGCGTCTTCTAAAAGTCGCATCCAAATATATATGTAAACCTATAACTCATCTTATTAATGCTAGCATAGTAAGTGGTATTTTCCCGACAAATTTAAAACAAGCCAAAGTAACACCTATATTTAAGAAAGGTGACAAAGCTGACCCAAATAATTATCGTCCCATTTCTATTTTACCAACTATATCTAAACTGATAGAAAAACATGTAGCTAAGCTAATACAAAACTTCACTAATGAATTTGATCTACTAACACAATCCCAGTCAGGATTTAGGGAACTCCATTCTTGTCAAACTTCACTTACAAAACTAACAGAAAGTTGGCTTAATGCAATGGATTGTGGTGAACTAATCGGCATTACATTTATAGATTTTAGTAAAGCTTTTGATTTTGTGAATCACGATATTCTTCTAGAGAAATTAAATCATTACAAATTTGACCAAACAGCTATAAAATGGTTTAAGTCATATCTTTACGACAGGACCCAGTGTGTTAAATTTGGAACATGTGTCTCCAATATTCAACCCGTCACAGCAGGAGTGCCACAAGGGTCAATTCTGGGCCCTCTTTTATTTTTATTGTACATAAATGACCTTCCATTACATGTAAACAATTCAAATATTGATATGTTTGCTGATGATGTTACTCTGTATTCAAATAATCATAATGCACGATGTTTAGAAAATACGCTAAATGCAGATCTTTGTGAGATTGAAAAATGGTGTGCTCAAAATCAAATGGTTTTAAATGTAGATAAAACAAAATGTATGTTAATGGGAACACATCAAAGAAAATCAAAATTAGATAATCCACATTTACAACTTTATGCCTCAGACAAAACAATTGAAATTGTTGAAACTGGAAAAATTCTTGGTGTACATATTGATGATAAGTTACAGTATGCAAATCATATTGACTCAGTTTGTAAAACGGTTAATTATAAGTTATTTACGCTTCGTAGGATTAAGAAATTTCTCCCTCTTCATACCAGGAAACTTTATTACAACGCTTATATTTTACCATCTATTAACTATTGTTTGACTGTTTGGGGTAATGCCCCCAAGCAGGACATGGACAGACTATTTAAATTACAGAAAAGGGCAGCAAGGATTATCCTTGATGCAAGTCCTGATTCTTCTTCTAAACCACTGTTTGAGAAACTTGGGTGGTTAACAGTTTATGAACTAGTTGATCTATACAAATACATATTATTATACAAAATTTTCAGTGGAATGACTCCCGAATATCTTCGTAATTTATTTGAATTTCAGTCTTCAACTTCTTATAACCTGCGATCCGAAACTAATTATGATCTTAGATTACCAAAATTTCGTACAAACTTATTCAAGACCTCTTTTCAGTATTCAGGTGTACATCTGTGGAATAAACTTCCCCAACACATTAGATTCTCTCATTCTCTTCGAACATTCAAGCGTAATGTGGAAAATTACATTATCAGCTGTCGTACAATCATTTGAGCATAATAAGAGTTCAATATCGTATATTGTACTGTTATTGTTAAGATGTGTCTGTATTTGAACACTCTATTCATAATTCAGTGATTGTAATTCTCAAACCTATATAACATGTACTTAATTGTATGTGATTATGATGATTTGTATCTTGATGAAGTGTATATATTTTGTATTTGATATATGTACATATATAGAGAGGGCCCTGGGGAAGAATAGTGCATGCACTAACCAGGTTACCTTCTTTAAATAAAGTTTTATTATTATTATTATTATTATTATTATTATTATTGAAAAGAACTCTACCCCACTATTAAATTATCATTTCAATAGTGCTGGTATTTCACTAGTGGTTGAAACCTATGGTTATCATATTGAAATGCACTCTCACCCACCATTGAAATAATTATTTCAATAGTGGTCGTATTTCAATAGTGGTTAATATATATGTTTGTTATTGAAATGCACTCTCAACCACTATTGATATAATTATTTCAATAGTGGTCGTATTTTATTAGTGGTTACTAACTTTGTTTGCTATTGAAATGCATTCTCAACCACTATTGATATAATTATTTCAATAGTGGTCGTATTTTAATAGTGGTTACTAACTATGTTTGCTATTGAAATGCACTCTTAACCACTATTGATATAATTATTCCAATAGTGGTCGTTATTCCAATTATGGTTGCAACAGTGCAGCCATCGCAGTGACTAAGTCGGTAGAGCGCTAACTAAGTGATCAGAGAGTCGTGAGTTCGAATCTCGACCGCAACTTTTCCTGCGCAATGCGCTCTGCCGGCACTATGAAGTGAAACTGCGAGTCCTTCAGATGAAATCTTAACTGAGACCCCGTGTCACGGCATGCCTTGGCAGTATGCAGATTCTTCACTTCTTAAAGGCCATAATTGTCGAGTAAAGGTCCAAATTTAAAATCCTTCATAGCTACATGGTAAACTCTTCTATGGTCGATACGATGACCTTGCCCGCAAATACAATTTGTCATTGAGACAAATGCTGGCTGAAGTTTTTCATACTAATTGTTTGTCCATTATTGTCAGCAGGGGATGCTCACTCCTCCATGGCACCTGATCCCACCTCTGATGTATCGGAGTCTGTGTTTGCTGTGCTCCTATTTTGTATTGTTTTATGAACTTTGATATTGAATACTGTTCGTTATCTCCATATCCTTCTTCTTAAATGGGGCGTAAACAACATACATATACATCCAAATATCATCGTTCGAAAACAAACAAAAAAAAAACCGTTTTAAACCGAGCTTATATGATTAGAACTGCTACTCCATGGTCATATTTTTGTTGCATTTTAGTGATTTAAGCCCTTTACGGCATGATTGCAAAATCTGAATAGTATGTGTTTTTTAATAACAGTGTCACAAGTTCTTGAATTTGGTGGGTTAGGTTATTTTGGCTGTCGTGTACGGCAGATAGGGTCAGAAATGACAACTGATTCAAAAAAGAATATTGCGATCAGGAACATTGATACGGTTTTTAAAAAGAGAATATGAATTTATTGTATCCTATTAGGCTTCAAATTTTGGAAAACATTTTTGATGTAAATTTCGATGCTATTTCTAGAAGTTACTGAAAAAAACAGTATCAAACTAAACAAGTATTGCCAACATGAATAATATTGGTCAACTGGTGCTTTACGAGTCATACCCAGTATATCTTTTGTATTCCAAGGACACGGAACGAAAAACAGATATGATTGATAAAAGAACCTCGTCAGCAAATACATGTACAACTTATTATAATCTTAAATGCTGACTTTTGTTATTCTTACTTATTGTTTCGACATTATTTACACACTTAAATGTAGATGAATTTTTTTCTGTTATTTTCCAGTCGTAACAAGACATGACCGATTTATATGGGATTCTTATTTCTCCATGGCACCTGATCCCACCTCTGATGTTCTGGAGGTCTGTGTCTGTTCTGCCCATATTTTGATGGCCTTTTGAGCTTTCATACTATTTGTTATCTCCATAGACATCATATTTAAAACAGTGAAATTTGATGGACCATGATAGTAAAATGTTCAAATATAATAAATTCATTCTAATTCAAAATACAAGACTTGTGTCATCATAACCTTAAAAGTGAGATTTGTTCGAAACAACAGCTATCGAAACATCAAGCAAAACATAATCCAGTTGCCGAAGACTATGTACATTTTATGAACGCTCCAAGGATAATAAAAAATAAAAGCAAATTGTTGGGCTAGGTGATTTTATATACATGATTGCTATATGAAAAACGTATAGCTGTGCAAAATATCCACAAAAATATAAAATATTTTAAATGACCGTTGAAAAACAATGAAGGCATTTCCTTAAAAAAAGAAGTTTACATGATTTTTTTTTTCAAATAAAATACCTCCAAGCACTATATTAATAGATATAATTAGCTTAATTTTTTGGTAATTATTCCTTACATTACTGGTTTGATTCCAATAGCTCTATAGGATACACTGATTTGAAAGAAGTATAAACACAAAAGACTGTGTAGGGCTATTCCTGGAAAGGTAAAAAAATAATTTAAAAAAAATATCATAGATTTGTAATTAAACTAATGTATAAATATTTCTGTAATCATCAGACAGTTTTGCTGAATTTTAAACATAAAAGACATAAGAAACTGTATCTGCCTAAAAAAAATGTTTTGAATTTCATTAGTATTTTGAAAAAGAACCTGTAACTTCAACCTTATGTATTTTTTTGTATTTCTTACATTGTATTACTTAAATAAGTTTGTACGGATATAGTTTATGTATCAAATACAAACTATTACCTGATCCCCGTGTGTTGGAGGTAGACATTTTCCTTTATAAGTTATCTTCAATTTCTTTCTTCTTTACTTATATTTCTTATTACAACCGACTGCTACTTACAGGCCCTCTGAAACATAATATGAAGCTTTCAAGTTTTATTTTGAGGTAAAAACATTAAGTTTACTGAAAATAGTTTTGTTTACTTTTTTGGAAAATGTTTAAGTACAGTATTTTAACATCTGAAATATTTTTTTTTCATTCTGTGGACTCATATGAGGCATTATAGAAATATTTCCATTTGAATCTGTTTTCTGTGTGAAAAATCTTTGGAAATTATATTAGTCGATTTTATTTCTCGATTATTCTTCCGGCATGTAAAGCAATAGACAGTCAAATGTGCATTTTAAATTTTGTGTGTCTGTCTTTGTGTCACACAATAAGGAGGTCTAATATGTTTTTTTTTCTTTTGTTTAACGTCAGTGGGCGTTGACTATTAAATGGGATGCCTCGTGTAATTCTATTGATATTAGACTACATTTTTAAGATCTAAATTTACAATTTTATTTCACAATGAAAAGAAAATTTGTGAAGTCGCTGTCAAGTTAATAGAGTATGCCAGGTAAATCAACGATCGTTTGAAATGTGGGATAAATTATGCAGAACGGGCTCTGTCCGTTATGCAAATTATCCCACTTTTCCAACGATCGTTATCCCCGAGCATATTCCATTAACTTGACAGTGATTTTTTAAATCAATTAACAATAAAAAGGTAACAAATTAACGAAGTATTAACATATCCATGTATACAATGTCTATTTAGGGGTGTTGTGAGGAATTTCAATTGTAAAATAAATACAATCTTACAAAAAACAAATTCATAATTAATTCAGAGGTATTGAAAGGAATTCCAATAGTAAATTAGAAATACATTGCAATTTTACCCATGAAATATGAAAAAAAAAAATCAATATTCAACCACATTTTATTTATAAGATTGTATTTTATTGTATCATCTTAGTTAAGTTGTTAGGCCTTTGTTTTGTATACTATACTTTTTCTACGGAATAGAAAGGCTAAGCCTTTGACCGTGTACGTCTACTTGTGGGTGCAAACCTAGAAGTGGTTTTACAAGTACGCGTAACTACTGTTCTGTTTAACAAGATGTACGTTTTTCTGTAGGTGTAAAACGTAATTTCAGCAAGTTTCTTTACAATCCATTTGTATAAAAAAATCCTTGACTTCGATTAAGAAAGATACGTAGTAAATTCTCACCTTCATACTAAACACCACCTGAAAAATATATATTATATAATTTGAGTTAAAGAAGCTACAAGCTCTCACCTCTGCTAACTTACACGTTACATATTGTGTACAAATTGTAGAATTATAGTATGCAAAACTGATTACGTAAATTGCTGTAAATTAGGAGATTTTTCTAGCTACAGGCACACGTAGACGTACACGCTCATCTGCTGAGCCTTTCTTATATCCGGCCGATGTATAGGGCTCATGTTGGGTTTCGAAAAGAGTGATGTTTACTCCTATACTAGTAATCTAGTCCTACCTTTGGTATTTCCATAAATTCGTATTTCACACCCTCTGTAGACATTCGTATTGTTTAAATTTTTAGGATCGGTCACTGTCCGAGATTTTCATGAGCAGGCTTTTGTAAAAACACTTTTGTTAAAAGATACCACGATGAAAAATATATTTACTGCTTTTTTTAATATGAAATAAAAGCATTTATTAGTGTTAGATATCTAGGCACCAAGGGTGAGCTAGCTAAATGTTATGTTCCAAAATATGAGTAAAGTGTCAATGTATCTAAGTTTTGCACAAAAATTTGCTGTTTATTACTTTTATAAATTCAACGATAATACGTGCGTAAAAAAAAAACAAAATGTTTCCATCATCTAGTTTATTTAGGCTGAGTCGTTTAATAAAATGAAAATATTTAAGTTTTATCATATGAAAGTATACCTCATCCTGGTTATGTTTTAGTCTCAGAAATAGGTTTACATACCAGACAGTTTATTCCATTTTCGGCAAAATATTTTAAATGGATTCTACGTCTTTCTTTATAGTTGTGTACATTTGCTTCGAAATGTAGGTCATATCCCAAGTGCATTGAACCGACACAATGTTAGTTTAAAAGGCTGGTGTATTTCCGTACGTTAAAAATAAAAATTGATAATGTTGACGCATCTCCGAAATAAACTTTTTTGGATGTTAAGAAGAATCTATTTCCACGAGGTTTTTTTCAGACAAGATCAAACATTTTCCTTTTTATTTTTTTTTTAAATTGCACCTACAATCTTCATAATTCAAAATTAGTAGCTTCCCTTGCAAGCATATACTTTCTGACCAACATAAATTATGTTAAAGAAAAAAATTTCTATGTGCTTGTGCTTTTTATACATCGTCTTGAATTTGTTGTGCAGCACATTGTACAGTAGTGTGACATAAATGAGTTCGCAAAATGGCCGCCGTCATTCGTGCGTGCGGTGCGCTTGCGGTATACAAAATTTAATTTCTATCAATAAAATAATATTACCACTTACCTTTTTGTGTTAGTACTTTGTTATATAGCCTCTAGAGCGAAGAACACTTCGAATTCTCCTAGGAATGCTTGCATATAAACTCTGAATATAGTGCAAAGGGAGGCTACTCCATATTTCATGGACGATTCGCTCCAGATCATTCGCGTTTCTGATCTCATGTGTCCTCCTTTGTACACGGATTTTGAGCACTCTCCAGACATTTTCTATAATATTGAGATCAGGACTTTGTGGGGGGCCATGGCAGAGTATTAACGTTGTTGTCTTGTTTCCAACGATTTGAGAAAGCGGAGACATGACACGGGGCATTGTCTTCTTGGAAAATCCAGCGCCGATTTGGGAAATGACGAGCGATCACAGGCCAAAGACACTCATCAAGAATTGTAATATATTTCTCGCTATTCATGTTCCCATCCACAGTTTTTAAGGTACCAACTCCATTATAACATATGCAACCCCAAAACATGAGGGAGGCCCGACAGTTTGTTTCCCAATCACCACGTAACCCGACACATTCAGGACGTATTCTTTCCCCACTCTTCCTCCAGACATGAACTTTATCGTTATTTCCAATAACTATCTTAGTCTCATCACTGAATATTATGGATGACCAATGATTGTTGACTGTCCAGTGCAATTTCTGTCGACAAAATCGGGTTCTCTTCTCTCTATTCACGCGTGAAACAGTTGTTTTCTTAGAAACTACACACCTTTTGTAACCTTCCTCTGATAATCGCCTGTGAACTGTTCTGAGAGACACATTAGATCCTGTCCTGGCATTAAATCTGGATGTTATATCTTTTAAAGTCTGACGACGGTTGATTTTAATGCTTCGGAAAAGAACCCTGTCATCTCGCTGTGAAGTTTTTCGTTTCACCCCACTTCTCGGTAAATTTTCTATGTTACCCCTTTCCCTCACACGTTTGAGAAATTTTTGGATAGTACGACTGTTAATTCCGGTTAGATTCTCAATTTTATAGCTTGACAGACCTTCATTTGACATCTGAATGATTATTTCTTTTAGATCACTCGTCAATTCTCGACCATGGGGAGCCATATCTCCAAGCAGACGATAAATTGTTTATCAAAGGGGAATAATCCAAATGTACAACAATGACAGATTTAGTTAAGTCGTACCTAAATTTCAATTAAATATTTTTTCCTTTAAGAGAAGCGATTACGTTAATTCAGCAACTGATTCACCGCCCTTCTTAATTACTTACGATGACGGCGGCCATTTTGCGAACTCATTTATGTCACACTACTGTACATGGAGGGCTATATGACGCATTGATGAAACATTACCAATCCAGCATTTACAGCACAGCGATAAGAGGCTTTACAAGCTGGCTTACAGTGAATTGTTCTTGGTATTATTAGAAGAATATAATCTAATTCAATAGATATATCAACTAGATATAGGTCTCAGGGTGTATTTGATACATATGAAATATCTTTGATGCAAGTTTCATTAAATAATTTCATCATTTATGTGTTTACACGAGAGAGAAAATTTTAATATGTGAAAACGTGTGTGGGGGGAGAGAACATTTATTCGTCCATTTTTATATTCCATCTCGCCAGTCTCACGGGTGGCATTTCATAACGTACCTTACACCGTTAGATCAGTTGGACTAAATTAGGAAACGGAAGAGAACTACATAATTTAACAATGATTTAATGTACTAGATATATTTACTATTCATAATCATTTATGCAATACAATAGCATTATGATGTCACAAATTTTCACGCTATTTCTGAATCCTGATAAGGTACACACGATGGGTGTGACCAGTTGACAGGGGATGCTAACTCCTTCATGGCACCTCATCCACCTCTGCTCCTGGTTTGTATAAGGTTACATGTAATATATGCCGGGTTTTCTTCAGTGCTGATAAAACAGATTTGTTATCATAATGTACATGTAACTATTCAAAACTTTATTAAGGAATACAAAACTTTTTCAAAAAATAATGATGCAAAACATTAGTTCTATGCAAATGATTAAGATACATGCATAATTATATTATTGTTTGACAATATGCTAATCAATAGTACATAAATGGCAACAATGAAATGAATTTAGATTATGCGTAAATTTGATTTTACTAGAATAAAATGAAACAGATATGAAACATACTCAATTACAAAAAAAAGTATTACTTAGAGTTAATATCAACGTAAAAGTCAGTCGTTTAAGTTCACGTCAACTGCAAAGGATCAATCACCAAATACTCGATACTCATATATTGAATTTGTGTTCCTGAAAAAAAAAAAACATCTAACCTACCTCAAGTCAATGATGTAAAAAAAAAAATTAATACTCAATAAATGATTTTTAAAAATGTATCGCTGTAGCGTTGAATAGATTTTTTTGCAATTTATGCAAATTGACGAAGAAGACAAATTGTACATTTTAAGTATTTTTTAGAATTTATTTTATTTATTTCGACCGAGTTTGTTATACATTTGCTAATTAAAGATCAATAATTGATTATACTTTCATATGATAGGCCTGATATCTCACCCTTATCTTTTTCTTTGACTAATGAACATTACGACAAATCCTGTTAAAACACCAATGATAAGTCCAGGAATACCTGTTACTATAGCAATGTGAAGTACTTGTACACCTAATTGAAAAAACAAAATAGATAAAAAAGTAATTACTGGTTGTGTAAAAAAAAATAGCATGCACATTTTATTCCGTAGATCTTTTGGGTTTTTAAAAAAACACTTCCTTATTAGATAAGATAGAAATCTGATGATACATGTACATGTGTGTTCTTTTTTACACATTCTAGCAATACAGCGTTAGAAACAAACTTTAAGATATAGATAAATATATTTTCTTCATGTTTTCAGGTCTGTTCGTCCTTCCGTCTGTTTAGCTGTCTTTTGGTCTGTCTTGCCGTCCGTCAGTCGGTATTAATGCCCGTCTGTAACACTCGTTTCCTTGCACTATCCCTCTATGGTCAACGGAAAAGATAATCACTAAGCATGTAAGATGTCCCCGGTTCAAATTCAAGGGTGTTATATTTTATTTACTAAGTGATAGTATTTTGCATATGAGATAAAGAAGTTATGACATATGTCGTGTCCAAACTATTATTTCATTGTATTAAATATTTTAGATTAAAAGAATTCATGTACTCCTGATCACATTTTAATAAACAATCTGTCAAATCTTTTCAGAAACGATATGAAGTACAGCAGAGTGTTTTTGACAAACAAGTTGATGAATCAAGGATATCAACAGTCTCGTTTAAAGACATAATTTCGTAAGTTCGATGGTCGATACAATGACCTTGTCAGCAAATACAATTTATCATTGTGTAAAATGCTGACCGACATTTTTCATACTTATTGTAAGTCCATTATTTATACACTGAATTGACGACGGATTTTTCAATTATTTCCTGACCATGACAAGGAGCACAAGTCGGGTGTGACCGGTCGACAGGGGATGCTCAATCCTCCAGGGCACCTGATCCCACTGCTAATATTTTGGAGGTCCGTGTTTATTTTGCTCCTATTTTGAAATGTGTTGTGGACTTTTGAAATTGATTAGTGTTCGTTACATATACATGTCTATATTTTTCATCCATATTGGCAATTTTATTTGGTTCAGTACATATATTTATCAATTCCGCAAATCTGGAGAAGTGGATGGGAGGGTTTGTGAACACCCCATCCCAATCTTAACACACTTGTTTTCTCCTTAAGCGGGGGACACATATTCCCTGAATAAGTTTATTCAAAGATATTTGTTCAAACAAAAAAAAGGCTATTTCGAATTCCCTGGAGCTTACCTTGATAGCAATGCTTTTTGTCATTGTTGTAAAAGAGGCCAGATCGGCAGGAGCATGTTCGGTTTCGTGAACAGACTCCTCCATAAAAATTACAATGTTCGCTGAATATGCATTCCTCGCCATATGAAGCGCCCTTTTCAAGAACGGATTCTAAAAATATATTTTAGAAATTATATAGAATAGTAATAATTTTAAAAACTTAGTTTAAAAACATGGAAAAATTTGTCTGTAAGGCTATCCCTAGTGCCTATCTTTGAAAATTAAAAATTGTGTTAAGGAATTGATATTTAAATTTCTAAAAATGTATCAAATATAAAAATGTTGTCAACAAACCAGGCGCACATTTATC